GGAGCCCCTAGTAGCGTCCTTGCTCCTAGTAGCGATGCCCTTTGCTCGGTCAAAGTTTCATTCGGAAACTAAAAGGTGATCTTCGCGAACTTTACGGTTTTCTTCGGAAACTTTACGGCTTTCTTCGGAAACTAATCTTTGGAAACTACGCGGTTTTCTTCGGAAATTTTACTGTGTTCTTTGGAAACTGTTAAAGGAAAACTAGTCTTCGGCAACTCAAAAGTGATCTTCGGAAACTTTACGTTTTTCTTCGGAAACTATTCTTTGTAAATTCTACGGTGTTCTTCAGAAACTAATGTTCGGAAACTACAAAGAGTCGAAGAGCAACATCAAACCTGCACGGAAATCTTTCTGCAGATCGCAAAACAAGCATGTATATACCGTAGCCGTCACAAGGTACATCAATATCCCACCTACCCCCCCACCCACCCAGTGCTCCTTCATGCAAATTAGTTGCAACATTGTAAAAGTTCTGAGGAATACTTTCTAAAAAGTTAGCTTTCTGAAGATCGCGAAATAGTCTCTGAAGATCGCGGACTAGTTTCTGAAAATCGCACAAGATTTTCTGAAGATCGCAAAATAGTTTCTGAAGATCGCGAAATAGTTTCTGAATCGCTACAAATTATTGAGGGGGGAGGACCCTAAATGTAACTTACATTTTCCCTAGATTTGAGGGTCAGAAATGTAATATAACATTTTTGTTTGAGACGTCAAAAATGTAATGTTACATTTTTGGCCCCCTAGCTTGCATTTTTTTATTGAACATAAGCACGAAATCTAACTCCTGTAGACCCCCACCCCACCACTTTCAGCCAATATTAGCTAAGTTACATTTTTCCGGTCTTTTAGGCCATATAATAAAAATGTAACATTAATTGTTGAAGGCTCTTTCCCTTTGGACAATTTAGAGAAAAACATGTATATACATCTAGAAAGAAGATATGCCTTAAGAAGGACAAATCTACTTTGGACAAAAAATAATAAGCTGGGAACGTAGGAGAAGCCAAAACTGGTGAGAGCACCAGCAAATCCAAATAAAAAACATCTAGAAAAAAGATAAGCCTTAAGAAGGACATACCTATAGACTTTAGACAGAAAATGTAAGCTGGGAACCTGGGAGAAGCCAAACCTGCTGAGAGCACCAGCAAATCCAGAGAAACAAATCTAGATACATCTAGAAAGAAGATGAGCCTTAAGAAGGACATATCTACTTTGGACAGAAAATGTAAGCTGGGAACCTGGGAGAAGACAAACCTGCTGAGAGCACCAGCAAATCTAGAGAAACAAATCTAGATACATCTAGAAAGAAGATAAGCCGTAAGACGGACATACCTATATACGTTAGACAGAAAATGTAAGCTGGGAACCTGGGAGAAGCCAAAACTGCTGAGAGCCCCAGCAAACCCAGAGAAAAAACATCTAGATACATCTAGAAAGAAGATAAGCCTTAAGAAGAACATATCTAGTTTGGACAGAAAAAACATAAGCTGGGAACCTGGGAGAAGCCAAACCTGCTGAGAGCACCAGCAAATCCAGAGAAAAAACATCTAGATACATCTAGAAAGAAGATAAGCCTTAAGAAGGACATACCTACTTTAGACAGAAAATGTAAGCTGGGAACCTGGGAGAAGCCAAAACTGCTGAGAGCACCAGCAAATCCAGAGAAACAAATCTAGATACATCTAGAAAGAAGATAAGCCTTAAAAAGGACATATCTACTTTGGACATAAAAAATAAGCTGGGGACGTAAGAGAAGCCAAAACTGGTGAGAGCACCAGCAAATTCAGAGAAACAACATCTAGAAAGAAGATAAGCCTTAAGAAGGACATACCTATATACTTTAGACAGAAAATGTAAGCTGGGAACCTGGGAGAAACCAAAACTGCTGAGAGCACCAGCAAATCCAGAGAAACAAATCTAGATACATCTAGAAAGAAGATAAGCCTTAAGAAGGACATATCTACTTTGGACAAAAAAACATAAGCTGGGAACCTGGGAGAAGCCAAAACTGCTGAGAGCACCAGCAAATCCAGAGAAAAAACATCTAGATACATCTAGAAAGAAGATAAGCCTTAAGAAGGACATATCTACTTTGGACAAACAAATAATAAGCTGGGAACGTAGGAGAAACCAAAACTGCTGAGAGCACCAGCAAATCCAGAGAAAAATCATCTAGATACATCTAGAAAAAAGATAAGCCTTAAGAAGGACATATCTACTTTGGACAGAAAATGTAAGCTGGGAACCTGGGAGAAGACAAAACTGCTGAGAGCACCAGCAAATCCAGCGAAACAAATCTAGATACATCTAGAAAGAAGATAAGCCTTAAAAAGGACATATCTACTTTGGACAGAAAAAACATAAGCTGGGAACGTAGGAGAAGCCAAAACTGGTGAGAGCACCAGCAAATTCAGAGAAACAACATCTAGAAAGAAGATAAGCCTTAAGAAGGACATACACATATACTTTAGACAGAAAAGGTAAGCTGGGAACCTGGGAGAAGCCAAAACTGCTGAGAGCACCAGCAAACCCAGAGAAAAAACATCTAGATACATCTAGAAAGAAGATAAGCCTTAAGAAGGACATATCTACTTTGGACAGACAAATAATAAGCTGGGAACGTAGGAGAAGCCAAAACTGCTGAGAGCACCAGCAAATCCAGAGAAAAAACATCTAGATACATCTAGAAAGAAGATAAGCCTTAAGAAGGACATATCTACTTTGGACAGAAAATGTAAGCTGGGAACCTGGGAGAAACCAAAACTGATGAGAACACCAGCAAATCCAGATGTCTTAAGAAGGACTTACCTACTTTACAGAGAAAATGTAAGCTGAGAACCTGTGATAAGCAAACAAAGGGCAGGGCGCCAGCAAATCTAAAGAAACAACAGCTAGAAAGAAGATACTCCGTTAAAATCATGTAACCTAAGAACCTGGGATGAGTCAAAATTACCAGAAAGCAAACACATTGGAAAAATGCAGCAGTCTGGACAATGTTTAAGATTCCACAATCCACATGCATAAGAAAACATAACACATCGACAGGCAGAACGAAGCGTCAAGGTTTCCAAGTTACATTTGTGGACCCCCCCCTTTGCTCATCAGACAGGGGCACCCAAAAATGTAACTTAGAACGTCCCCACGTATAAAGTTACATTTTCCTGGACCCCCTCCCCCCCCCCGGGGGGGTATGCCCCGAAAAAACGTGAGGGGGGGTCAGCTTACATTTGTTGGAGGGTGGGGGGGGTGCCCAAAAATGTAACTTACATTTTGGGTCCCCCCCACCCTGTTTTCATGGTTAAAGGGGTAGCGATGTTTCTGAAGATCACGAAATAGTTTCTGAAGATCGCGAAACAGTTGTGAGAAATGGTGGTCGGTGCACGTTTTTGCCATGTGGTGGCTTTGACTTGAGACCGCTGACGCATCCGCAGTCAGCGCTGGCTCGCGTGTTAGAAAACATTTGCTTCGGCCGCGACCGCTTGCTTTGGTAGCTTTGTTTTTACTTCGCACTCCGCATTGGTAGCGGAGCCCCCGAATACCGGGGGCCGAGCAATGGCAGAGCGGGTCCCCGTGCCTGAGTGGGACGCCGCTGCAGGGCAGCGCCCTGATCCGGCTGAGCCGGTACGCACTCCTGGCAGCGCCAGTGATGGACAGCGTCCACATGACCAGGCAGCGCCTGGATCGAGTGGTCTGCCGACCCCAAATGGTGGTTGCTTGCCACCTGGAGGCTTCGCAA